CTTTGCGGTGTCGTCACGCATGCTTACAGCTAACGTGCCTGGATAGAGCATGGAAAGCTCCCAAATCTTCAGGAATAAAACGTCCCATTAAAGAACCGTAGAGCAGCAGATCACCACCAAGTCTGTGGGTCTTTATGCTCTCCCTTTGTTGGGGGGAGAGTGAAATTTCCCTGCGCTGCAAGCTGCCGCAACAAAGGGTCTGATCTGCAGCTCTGGCTGAGGCAGACGTTTTGCACAGGGCTTTTTTTAACCTTCTTTGTAATTAGTGGAGTGCAGTAAGCTTTCTAGTGAAAGTAGTGCAGATGCCTCCACCAGAGTGCTGGAGGCAGTTCCAACTGACCACGTGTTTGGTTGGGTGAGCCCCTGAGCCGGCTGTGTGAGGAAGCAGGACTGGAGGCTGGGGATGCTCGGGGCGTCCTGGCAGCATTGGCGTCACTGGGGGTTGGCAGCCTGTGCCTGAACAGAGCCGGTCGTGGCCCAGGGCTGCTCCACACACAGCTGGCAGCCTGCAGCCCTTTGCTTTCAGGAGCCACGGCTTGGTGTTCAACATGTAGGATGCTGTCCTTGTCGTGCCACTATGACAGCAACTTGAAGATATTTTACTCTTGCAACTTGGGTGCCTCAGAAGGGAGAGGGAGGGGGAAAAAAACACACTTGGAAGTTAATTCTGAGGACCAGGCTGACAGCTTTTTGCCACTGTTGCTTTCTTCTCATTTGAAAAGCTGAAGGCTTGTTACAGCCCCAGCATACAGCAGTCTAGCAGGTTAAATGACTTGGGCAACACAGTTTATTAAAACTGGCAAGTGCTCGCTCCAGTTCTCTTCCTGATAGTCAGGGCTGTCTGCGAGAGTAATTGATAGTGGCAGCTGTTGGGAGGGTGCTTCAGATGGCTGCGAGACGACTTGACTTGACAGACAGCTTGGTACGAAGGAACTGAGCGCAGGGCTGGAGCCGGCCGGGCTGCATGGAGCATCCCACCATTGCACGTCATGGCTGGGGCACAGGTTGCAGGCCAAGCTGGGGTCAGAGCAAGCCGTGATAATTGTCTTGTGTCTTAAATAGCACTGCCTTCCTAAAACACAATGAAAAAGCTGAAGTCTGCTCAGGGTAAAGAATTAGGACTTAAATACTGATTTTTCGCTCTGCCAGCATCAGTGCTATCGTTGCCAATGCAAAGTACTTTGCTTTCACTTGTGCCTTTCGGTATTGCACACCCACAATACATTGTGCAGCAGTCTAAAAGCTCTGTTTAAAAAAAAGAAGCTTTTTCTGAAGCTCATTGAATAAGTTATTTTGGTAATTCCTTTGTTTTGCTGTACTCTGCACAGTCGTGCTGTTCTGCCATGATTCCTAATGCTGATGGTTCAAAACTCGTTCCTGGGACTCGTCAACCAACTCTGAAACACTCAGCTTCTTGCCACATATGTCCCTGTAATTCCTGCGGTGATGCTTTCGCAGCATTTCTTGCTGGAATTTTAATATGGAGCAGGGTTGGTAACAGCCAGGCTGGCTTCTGTCTGTTTGCAGGGATGTGTATGGGGGGATAGATAGGCTGCAGATGGTGGTGCTTGTGTTTCTTGGGAAATTGCCATTGGTAAAGATGTCATTGATTGATGTCGGAGAGGAATTTCTTTCTCACATCGCCCCATCACCATTGCTGTTTGAATACAGTGCAGGAGACTGCAGAAAGACATCTGAATGACTCCACTTTCTTTTCTTCAAGAGACAAAGGAAAGGCGCAGGCAAGATTGGATTTTTTCCGATCACGTTGTTGGTTTGCTGACAGCAACAACCGGCGGCTTGCAGAGAGCGAGAGGCAGGGCTGGAAATGCCGTTGCCCTAAGTACTGTTTGTATAACACAATAACTGCTTATTGGAGTCCTCAAAGCAGCCTTTACATGTTTAATCCCTTGCACTTGAGCTACTCTTAATCAGCTTGAAAGCAAATTCCTGTAACAGAAGGGTTTAATTTGTGTGGGGGGCTTTCTGTATAGTATTTAGCTTGCAATGCGCTGCAGTTATGCGCAGGCAAGCGTGTCACCCTGTGCTGCCCTGGGGATGGGCAGCATGCATTTATCCCAGTGACGTTTCGTATTGGGCCCGTGCTGCTGGATTTCAAGGTTCACTCAATTCCTCCCATAACATCCTTTCTGCGGCACGTTCAGCTGTAATTGAATTTGGTCTTCAGCCTAGTGCTGCACATTTCCAGCAGCAGTAGCTAAAGCTCTCTGTGCTTTTAAAAGTGTTGGGAAGTTTTCATCTTTGCCGCATTAAGTTGGGATGGGATGTAGCACAAGACTCAGGAAGGCTGGATTTTTGCAATGCTGCAAAGGATAGCTGAGTTGATGAAGAAGACAGGAACGCCTCATCTCAGGCTTGTTTGGTTTTTTCTTGTTGAAGCGGCTTCACTCCTTCCTTCCCTGTCTCTGGCACCAGGTCATCATTCATCCCAGTAAAATCATACTCCACTGACTGCTCATTTAAGAAAACCTCTCAATGGAAGAAATGCAGAGTGTTTGGTTAGAAAATAAATAAAGTTGGCATGCTGAAAAGGGGTAGCGCTCTGCATAGTGGAGAATGGCAGATGTGATCCGGCCTTCCCGTAGCATGGCTGAAGCATGAATCATTGCAAATGTCAGATTTGCTGTGAAGGGATGAGCTGAACTGACACGCGCTCGGGTTTAATTAAGGTTGAATTATTAGAGCTGACTGTCAAGTCTTAGGCAAATTGGCTCAGCCTGTTATCATTAAACATGAAAATTACTCTAGGACTTCGTTAAAATAAACACGTTTTTGTCTCTAGAACTTCATGGTGTGGTCTGGTGGAGCCATGCCTTTGTCGGGGCGGTTGTGCTGCGTCTGTGCAGAAGGGACTGGGTTGGGAGCTGTGGTACAGAATGCTGAGAGAACCTCTGTGAGACCTGGCCCAGCATCAGGGAGCTTGGATGTGGGAGTGCCCAAAAGTACCCACCTGGGTGTTCTTTCATTGAGTGTTTGGTTGTGCTGGAGAGTGGAACACAAAAGCAAGGTGGCAGCAGGAATCAGGCACTTACCCCTGTCACTATCTGATACAACCAGGCTGGTGGGTCCATTCAGCCAGCGAGGTTTTGCTTTGAGAAAACTGCAGGTGAGAACTAATGCTGAAATCGTGGGGAATCAATACCTAAAGCTGGTCAAACAGCTGCTTTTAATGAGGGACTTTATTGATTCGTTTTGGATCTAATTGACTTTTTACTCAGCTAACTTTTGTGGTGCCACTGTGTTTTGAATATACACCATTAGTTTGCATTGCCTGTAATTACAGGATATGAAGTTTAACTCTGTAGGAGGAGGACTACCGGCTGCAAAGATGTAATAGGCTCTCAGGAAACCCATGGTCAGAGATGAAACCCAATTGCTTTTAATGTGTAGCTCCAGAAAAACAGTGGGATCTGCAGCTGTGAGTACACTCGCTCTGAAATGCAGCACATGGACCCATGGCTTAATTAGGCAATGACAGTTTTTCAGTTGTCAATAATAAAATCTGAGGAAAAATGACAAACGGAGGTGGCATTACTAGAAATATTGGCAAATGAGAGCAGGGAGTATTTGATTTTAAAAGCAATTTCCCTAAATAAAACAGAGTACCTGTGATGCACAAACTGTCCCTTTGTCTGATGGCAGCACCAAAGGGGCCAAAGCCGTGGCAGCACAGTCCTGCTCCAAGCAGGCTGCATAGCACACCGTGTGTGCTGCCAGAATTAGCTCCCCGTGTGTGCTGTGCTATTTCCACACCTCCTACAACAGGAACTGGCTCCGGCCTTTGATGAGACAGGAACATTTCAAAGGTGGAATTTGTTGGCGAGGGTGTTGGGAGCGTGTTAAGGAACGTAGGTAGCATCTCATGGGTGTCTGCAAGCCAGTTAAATGCAGACAGCCCAACACCTTCTGGTGGGTAATGACAGCGTGCGCCCTGCCTGTCCAGGCAGGTGAAACACACAGATTACTCTCATTCTGTAAGCTTTCCTTGTGATTGTGTCTATGTGTGCCCTCAAGGACAAACAGATTCTATTGAAAAGGACTCCTGTGGGAGCTGAATCTCATTCATGTTGGTCCTTTTGGTTCTCTTTGGCCGTTTGAATACTGTTCAGTCTGAAATTTCTGTTCTTTCCTCCCTTTTCCCATTTCCCTTCCATCCTTTTAATCTGTTCCACTGCATTTCTAGTTTAATTTGGAGAAAAGAAAATACTTGTCATTATAGAACCAGTAATACCAATTGGAATTCCCACCGCAGGTGCATTCAGCAAGGTCACAGCATTGCATATAGCTTTGGTGTACAGATATGTGCAGTGGCGAGGACAAGTGGGACTACATGTCTGAGGCTACCTGTGCTTACTTCAGTTCTGGCTGAATTTTTCCACCCTTCTCTGATCTATTCTTCCATACAAGTGTGTGGCCAAGGAACAGCAGTGTAACAGCTTCACAGCAAAGCTGTCCCATCCCTTGCTACGCACACATACCCAGAGAAGCCTCCTCCCCAGAGGCCAGTTGGGCTCATCGTGGTCGGTGCTTGGGTCATGGTGCCTTGTGGCTGGGGTTGAGCCTCAACACAATGTAGGTTAAGGGCCCTCGCGATCAGACTTGTGTTCGTGAGTTTATTATTGGCCTTAAATCTGACATTGAACAGGAAATCCTGTAGCAGTAACTTGAGACACGTTCACACTCCTACTGTACGTAACCTTGGGACTCTGTAGCAGTCACCAAGCTATACGTTCTTTGTAGTATGGATTCGTTTAATGACATCTCAGTCTTCTGCACACATGCCAAGGAGTACTGGCTGACCAGTCAGGGACAGGAAAGGACGGGCTCGCAAACACAGCCATCCTGCAGCAGCACTGCTCCCACGGTGCTCCCACAAGCTGAGACGTGTCTTGGTTTTTTTCAGACATGTGTCCAACCCTGCGAGACAACCGCAGACCTCTCAAGTGTGTGCCTTTTGTTTTTTCTTGTTGCTCCGTAAGGTCCCACCTTGAATGACAAGCCAGAAGCGAAAGCAGCCAATGTCCCAAAGGTGTCTGGGCTAGAGCGGAGCCGGGAGCTGAGCACCGACGTGCCCTTCACCCTGCCTATCCCCAGCCCCCAGCCAGTGGCTGCCGTTGTGACTTCTACTTCCTCAGCGCCCACGTCGAGCGCCAGAGCGAGCCCGCTGTTGAAGAAGGAGCCCGTGATTTCAGCACCAGCACCACCAAGGCTCACGCCACAGCCGCAGCCTCGGCCTCAGTCACAACCTCAACCTCGGCCGCAGTCGCAGCCTCAGCTGATACCTGAGCTTCGGTCCCAGCCTCCGAGTCACATCCCTCCGCCTCTCAACTACCAAGTGCATCACCAGGTGGCCCACAACGGACTCAATAATATCAGGTAGGAGAAGGGGACGCGTCACCTCTGTGAGTGACCTAATGACCTGTGACCTGTGATCTAATGCCGGGATCGAGCTTCTTTCAAATGGGAGAGAAATGGCTGGGACTGGAGCCGAGGGCGCCCTTCCTGTCTGGGTAACATGCTCCGTGCTTTGGATATTGCATTTTCCAGCTGCGCTGGCTGGGTTGTCCACCGTGGTAGATAGCTGCATGTAAAACATGGTGATAAACTCTCCCTTTCTAGGAGGAAGGCATGCAGAACTGAGGGGTTAAGATCTTTTAGGTCCGGTTTCTAGTGGAATTTTGCACTGTCCTGTCTGAGCCAGCCAGTATTTGCCTTAGGATTTTGAAGCAGTTTGAGTTTGCACTCCCTTATTTCATATTCAGAAAGACTCCTGTTAAAGTGGGTGGGTGTTCACACTTGTCTCTGTTTTGTTGGTTCACCAACATTCTGATAGGGGTAACCCTATCAGAAAATGTGCTCCATAGATTCCCATGTAGGCTGACAAATTTGCTTCAATCCAACATGCTCAGATCTAGCAGGAGGCTTAGCTTTGCTGTTTAAATTGCTTCCATCCTGTAAGTAAGAAGGATGAAAGTGGTAAGGAAGAAGAGTTTCTAGAGAGAAGAGTTTATCCAGTCAAGTGGAACCTGTATGGCACTTTGGCTGGTACAGAAAACATGCCTTGCCTCCCAGACCAGAGCTAGACTAGTTATACAAGATTTAAAAACTGTTTTTAAACATTGTATTTGGCTGCACAAGGGTCAGTATATAACAGAGCTGCTGTTAAGTTTATATTTCACTGAATCCCGCATACTTAGGATTTGTTTTTGTTGAACTCTGTAAATGCCGCCTTGATATAAATGATTAATAATATTTCAAAGACTTCAAGAGATGTCAGAAATGTGAAACTGCAACAAATACTGCTATTGTGGGAATTACAGTAAAGAACTGCAGTGATAATTCCTTTCACCCCACAAAATTCAGATCACTCGCAGCAGAGTAATAATGGGAAAAAAATATTTAAAATACTGATTTATTAACATGGTGTGTGTTTGCATGCTTGTGTGAGTATAGCTGCACAGTAAGAACAGCAGATAAAACTTGGTGCCCAAATCACACCCTATGCAGCTCTGTACACCCAGAGTAACAGAAGAAGGAAACGGTACAGTTGCATTGTACGATCACAAGGATACACTGACCAGAGCCCAAATAAAGGTGCAAAATCCAGCAGTGTCAGTATCTCATAAATAGCTTTGAGGGTTGTAATCTGCTTGAGCACCAGAGGAAATGCTGCTCTAGAGTGTAGAAGCTTCACTAATATTTGTTGCTCTCTCCACTGACATTAAAAAAAAAACAACAACCAAATACAAATCTGGGGAAGTCAGTGTTGTGTGTGTGGTTATATTGTTTCAGGCTGTGTATTGCTGGTGCTGTTTCAGTGTCATTGTAACACGTTTTCTCTGTTTCTCTCTTCCCTTTCTGCCCCTCTCTCTCTCTGCAGCCGGAGCAGCAGTGCTAGCAGTGCAACGAGCATCAGCATCCCGAAACACCTTCCTCTCTCTCCCCAGATTCCTCCGCACCATTCCTCCGGCCCAGCCCTGCCCCTCTCCATCTCTAATCTTGCTACCTCGCACTTCTCTCTCAGATCGCAGACCCAGCACCAGCACCATCCGGCCATGTTCGCCACCCCACCCACGCTGCCACCTCCACCAGCGTTACCTACCAACAGCCTCGTGATACCAGGTCACCCTGCAGGTAGGTTCCCTTCTTCTTCCAGGGCTGATCTGCCATGCATGCACAGGAGGGTGTTGAGAGATGGGCTGGCTGGTGGGCAGCTAAATAACGTGACACAAACACTTCTGCAGGCAGTGCGTGCTGGAACTGTTAAGAGTGCTCATGAAACAGCTAGGAGACCTGGACAGGCTTTACCAGTAGAGAGACTGTAGAGACAGCACTTTAGTTTCCTCTTCAAAATAATTTTTTACCCTAAAAAATCTCCTTTTCAGGGCATGAGTTATCCATTGTGGTATTCCACAGTCACCACTGTTGAGTTTTTGTACTCAGCAGAGGATTTCCATTTAGTTTGCTGTTCTCTCTTCCCTCCCCCCATCCCTAATGAGAATGACTGCTGCTAGAATTGACTCAAGAAAAGAACTTTTTTCTAGTCAGCCCTTTGGGATGACACATGGAAAACCCCCACACTCATGCCCTGCTCTCATCCTGCAACAAGCAGCGCATCCTGCCAGCAGAGCAGCATCCTGCAGCAGCACCAGCTCTCTGTGTGTCCGTAGAGGCTTGGCCTTTCTGTGTGAGCAGACAGCTCAGCTGTCAACCTCTGCTGTTCAACACTCTTTGCATCCTTTTAAAATGTTTTCTTTGTTCACTGCACCCCAGTTCCATTGTCAGACCTGCCCTAAATGCCCTCTTTATAGCTTATCCATTAGCCTGCAGCTGTCCCTGGAAGAGACCCTGGCAGCAGGAGACTTCCCTGTAACTTTCACTTGCTGGGGCCTCCTTTTGATCTGGTATTTGACTCTACAGCTAACTCAGCAGGGATTAAACAGGACAAGCATTTTGCAGGAAAATGCATCCTATGAAGCCAGTTAAAGGAAAAAAGAGAGGGCAGATTTGCTGCTGAAAATTCTGACGGTTTTGCATCCCCTTGTTTTTCCTTCCAGGAACTAACTAACGTGTCATTATTTAGAACTGCTTCCTTAAATGAGGGAGAGATGTGAGTTGGTCCAAAGTGAGCTCTCAGAACAGTGAAAAGTAAGAGTGCTGTGGGTTCACAGCCAGGAGCAGGACCACATAGGCCAAGCTGCTGGCTTTCACAGGCCCTGGCACAATCTAGAATTTCAACTACTTGGCTGGGAAGATGTTGGCAGCACTGTGGGAGACCTATTCATTGCTTCCCCTGTTTAAGGCAAAGAACTGCTGTGATGGAGATGTTGAAAGGGTTGCAAAAGGAAATAGCAGTGTGCTCGCTAAAAGCATGATACTGCAGTCACTGAAAGCAAGTATGTTTTCACCATTAACTTCAGGAGGTGGAAGATCAAGTGACCTATTCACATTCAGCAGCTTGCCAGGAAATGGTAACAGTCTTGTTCCTACTAAAAGGATTTCTTCTGCAATTGAAGCTGGAGAGGCCTAAGTTAGTGGAGGGAAAGGTCTGAGTGTCTAACCTGCAGACAATGAAATGCCTCTTGTCTGCATTGTATGAAATGCCTGCAAACAGGCACATCATAAAATCAATACAGAGAGGCCCACATATCCAGGAGCTTCTGTTGTCATTCACATAAAACTTTCTTAAAAGCAAGTGATGTTGTTGAGTAGCCTAGAGAGGTAGGAGCCAACTACCACTTGCAGCACGGTCCTTGCTGTGCTGTTCGAGTGTATGTGTGCTCACAGTAAATGCACCAGCTTAGAAAAGCCTACAAGAGAGCATGGAGCTTTCAAGTCTCCTGTTACTGTCTTTTTATTTCCCCTGCTTTGGAGAAAAAAGTGTTCTTCCTTAAAAGTCAATTTGTCACTCTTAGCAAGAAGAGCAAATCACTAAGTTCCTGCATTCACTGATGGTAAAAGTTCAGATCTCAGAATAGCAAGAATGCACTTCTGGTGGTACTTGTTCCTCTGGAAATCTATAGCTTATGCAAGTAACTTAGGAGCAGCCATCACGTGGGCCTCCTTTCAGAGGCCTCAAGAGTGGCTCTAGTGTATTACACAGAGGAAACACCAATCTTTGTTTCTTCTCTGCTGAATGAGGGTATCTAGCAGCATCAGCAGAGTTGACCCTTTGCTTCCAGGCCCAGCTCATGTGTGCACACTTAACAGTAGTGTTTGAGCAGTCCAGAGTGTGCTCCTAGCTGTGTTCTACACAGCCAGGCCCATGGGACCAGGCATCGCTGGCAGGCCCAAGAACTGAGTTCTGACTTTACATTTCTCTGCACTCGCGGAGCTGGGTTACTACTCAGCAGTCCCATCTGTAAACTGCAGCAGCCATTCCTCCAAGTGCCGTGCTGCTTCTCTGAGCATCTGTGGGCCTCTTCTTGTCCCAGCAGAGGCCAAAACCATGGGGCAGGACAGTGAGCCGGAGCCAAATCTATCAGTCTGCCTTCGAGTCTCTTTAAAGAAACGGAGTATCAGAGCACTTAGAACTGCCAGCTTGCTTTTATGTCTCCCTCAAGAAAAATAGAAAGTGGATTATCTTGATGCTAACAGAAGGATTCCATTTCTTTAAGTTGTGCCAGATTTAAATGCGTAAACACAACACGCATATGAAATGATATTTATATTCTCTAATAACAGTAGGTTTTGGCCCTAAGTGCTCTCACCTTTTTTGGAGTGGAGCCCATTATAGACTCATGTGGTCCAATGCCTTAGTCTTCAGCATCACAAGTACATGCACATTCTGCTCTCCGTTTCTGTCCATGTGTAAATATTATTAATACGGAATGTAGCAATGCACGGTCCCTGCTCTTAGCAGCACATTATTACTCAAAAGCAAATGAATTAGGCATCCAAAATATGCTTTCAACAGTGGCTTTCAATGGAATATACACTTCCAAGTGTCAGTAGAGACCTTGAGATCCTAGATCAGAGTGCCTCTTTTTGAAGAGCTTAATGATGTCAATTCGGAAAAGGATTTAGATTCTTCCAGTGGTACTCTAAAATACTGGAGTGAAAGAAGTGCTTGTGGAATATGCAATAATAAGCATGTATTCTTTTGCCCCTTTATACCCAGTGCTGCCGTTCAGACGGGGTCTGACCGTGAGAAAGGAGGGTCAGTGTAAGTTCAGTCACAAGAAGTCAGTCAGGAATGGTGCCCATCACCCACAGCTCACGGCACAGGTTGTGCACAGCTTACAGAGCGCCTGGCATGCTGGATGCCGGCTGGCACCTGTCTGAAGCTGTTAGGCAAGATCACAGATGGATTTAATTGACACCAGCAGACATTTCTGGGCAAGCAGACGTTTGTTTTTATTCTCCTCAGTCATTTCTGAAGGGCTGGTACCTTCCATTACCCTGGAGTACAGTCAGGGCAGGTTGAGTGGTTCTTCAGAGGACAGTACTGAGCACTGGCCCCTTGCTGTGGGGCGGAGCGCTGTGTTCCAGCCGTCACTGCAGCTTCCATGAGCTCCTGTGCCAGCTCAGCTTTTCTCCTCTTCCCGCCAATTCCTCCTTATTTTCTACAGGGAGAAAAACCTGTAGGCGAGGACAAAACACTGCAGCATACAGCCTGTTAGAAACTGAGGAAGTTTACTCCTTAGTGTGCAGGGCCTCAGTAAAAAAGACGATTTGCAAAGAACGCCTCAGAGAGCGGGGATGGGTTCCTGGTCGCCATGTGCAGGGGGAGGTTGTCCTGCAGGGAAGCAGCCGGCCGAGCGCATCGGCACCGCGCTGCCTGCTGGCCCCGCGCAACGGTTTGTCCTTTAACTCCACGCATGTCAAACTGTAAGTTATGCATAGGGCTGCCGTCCACCCGGTGCGGTTGTACGCCCCTGGATGGGGACAGCTGGCAGGAAACAGGTCGGTGCGTTGGCAGCGAGCGCAGGGGAAGGGCTGAGGTGGGGGCTGAGCGCCCCGGGGTGGGCAGGGGGGGGACGCGGGCGGCTGCTTGCTGAGCCCCGAGATGATGTTTTCTGCTGTGATGACTCATGGTGTTCTCTCTTGTCTTTAGATACCAGCCTGTTGATATCATTCAACCAACCAATCATGTATTGCCAGCCTCATTCGGGGATTCTGATTGGTACTTTGTCACAGGCATCTCTCTTACCTCCACCAATGAGTCCTCACGTAGAAAACCACCACAGCATGACCTGCAGAAACAGGGAATGCCAGGTGAATATTGACTCTTTCTCCTCCATCTTTGTGGTACTCACAGGCCCACGGGCCTCTGTGTCTTTTTTTTTTCTCTCTCTCTCTCCTCTAGATCACGAACTGCTCAGGCAAGAGCTGAACAACCGGTTTTTGGTTCAGAGTTCGGACCGGGCCGCTGCCTCACTTGGCCCGGTGCCGCTGCTGAGAGCGGAGTTTCACCAGCACCAACACACGCATCAGCACCAACACACCCACCAGCACACATTCACTCCTTTTCCATCCAGCTTGCCCCAGACGCCGCTCATGCCGCCCTCTGCACCTCCCATGGTGCGTACCCCAGCCCAAAATGTGAGGATAAGTAGAGCATCTCTGGTCAAAAAGCCTAACCCGCTCTTGTCAAAAGGAAACAAGTTCCTCTTCCTTCCAGCCAGGCGTGCTGCCCCCGCCCCTCCTGCGAAGCCCCAGAGAGGGCCCAGCACTCCCCAGGGTCCCCATCCCAAGCCCCAGGTGCCCCTGGCTGCTGCCCATGAGAAGCCCGGAGCCCCTGCACCTCCCCTTCCTGCCGTCCCTCTGGGTACTTCGCTTCCCCATTCCCCCACACCAAAGCAAGCCAACAAGGGCACCACGAAGTTGGTGGCTGCCATGACAGGGCACATCCCTGTGGCTGCGATGCCATCCGTGCCCATCACAACTCAGCGTCTCTTCTGTTTGATGCAAGTGCTGTCCCTCTTCCTCCTAATTCCCAAATCTGTATCGGTTTTGGCATTTTTATTTGGTCACCTCAACAAGCGCTAAGTGGTGCTTGGCTGCTGCTTGTAGCAGAAATCCCTTTGGCCACCTAATAAGCCTCAGCCTTTTTCCACTGAAGTGGCACAACGAGGCTTTGCTGCAGCTGTTATAAAATTGTTAGCGATCCACCACAAATGGGTTTTGTCAGTGCTTTAAAACACACTCTCCCTCCATTTCTGGCAATTACTTTGTTAGGTTGAAAGAACAAGATTCAGCTTTTTTCCCTCTCAGTTTCACACTGTGTCTAAAAGGTGGAAGCAGCCATCATCTGCTAAGGCAAGCAAAAATGAGGACTAACAGCAAAAGCAGCATTTGGGAAGAACTACCATGAACTGAACATAATGTTTCTCACTTTTCTTTCCCACTGTTGATTGCCTGATGACATTCTTGGGTTGTAATCTGCTTAGCAGCAAGACAATTAAAGTAATATCCTCCACTCAGAAAGCAGCCCCAGGTGTTTGCACGGTCTACTCGTGTGTAAACACCTTCCCCCGTTTTCTTGATCTGTGTCAAACAATCTCAGAACTTTTCTCAGAAATCTCCTGTGTTATTTAAGAATGCTGAAAGCTGATCCTGCCACAGCTCACTGCCCTCCCACCCATGTCCCACTGATGTCAGCCTTCATAGCAAAAACAGCTTGCAAAGCTCTTTTGTTATATTTCACTCACATCTTCTTATATTGCACTAGATCAGCTCTGCTAATCCCAACACCAGAGAAGAGTGTTGAAATTTACAGCTGCATGTGTTTGGTAATTTTTGGTATTTACTCTGGAGGGGACATGACTCCAGTAATAACTGTAATTAATGAAATTACGAATCTACTCTCCTGCACGTAGAGGAGTGTGAAACAGCAGCTGACTTGTAAAATAAGCAGCTTTCCATGGGGTCCTACAGCTCCTTTCCCTGCCTCCTTCCCCGCTCCCTCCTCCCCAGCGGAATGTACATATTGTTCTGAAGTGTGATGTGTATATGCTTTGCTTTTGCTTCCAAGGTGGTACAGGACTAATGGTCATAAAAATAAATACGGGGCACAGACTGCACACGTGGAGGTGTTAAAGCCCCATGCTGGAAAGGCAGAGGTTAACAATCAGCCTTTCTCCGGGGAACTCTCTCTTTTACAGAGGAGGGAAAAAAAAGATATTTGTGCATCTAAAGCCATTAAACCCTTTTCCAGTTCTGAAATTGTTTCCAAACAACTTTGACGCTTGGAGAATTGCAGAAAACAGACAGCAGATATCGGTTGCCCCGTGGTGGAGATTATAGTCTAATGGAACCCATTCCTCTCCATCGAGTCGGTGGCGTGGTGCAGTGCTCCAGGGATAGGTCCCAGGGCTGGATCTGGAGCAGAACTCCCCCTGCCTTTCGCTGGGGTGCAGAGACCAGGGCTGTTCTCTTCAGAGAGAGGGAACACAACACATGGTGCCTCCTGGCTGGATTCCACATGGGGACTTGGCGGCACCCAGTGCACAGTGGGGGCAGTGCCTTTCCATCCCCGTTAGCTCTGGGAAATCAGTCGGCTCCCTGATGAGCAACTATGCGATAATCAGTCCGTTCTGCTCTGTTAAGTGTTGTTCAGATGGGCCGTGATGATTTGTCTGTGTTGAAATCCTGATGTGTCCACTACTGCCGAAAACAAACTCACCTGTTTTCCTTTCTGTTTTTCCTTTCCAGTTTGACAAGTACGCTCCCAAATTAGACAACCCTTACTTTCGACATTCCAACGTGAGTGCTTACGTTTCTAGGTGGTGTCTTTGTTAACGGTTCTGCTTGCTCTTCTGCTTGTTTTGGTTGATCAGTAGTGTTTTGATTCATTCATTCTAAGCTCTTTGTCCGTCTCGGTTTATTTTTTAAGGTACACAGTTTTCTTTCAGTTTTTGTTGTTTTTTTTAATCTTTGTCTACTGCATTTTTGCTGCTGCGGCTCTGTATTGCTGTGCCTGGTGTGGCAGGGAATGCGCAGGGGTTGCTGAATCGGTGGTCATTGCAGTGTCTTTGCAGCTGGTGCTTCTCACAGTGCAGCAGCCCGTTGTGCATGGCTCTTTCACAAGATTTTGCTCAGGTCACAGGAGTAAGTCAGACTGGTGGTTTCTTCCCGGTGCTCCCCACTGCTCCAAAGCACAAAACTGTTACGTTTTAGGACTTGAAAAGCTGCTGTACGTGCTCAGGAGAGACCTAAGCAAAACTTACCCCAGCCCACACAACCTCAAGGCAGTGTGCATGTTGCCTGTGGTTAGTGTGCAGTAGAGCATCTTGTGGTTCTTTTTTGCTTTGAAAATGAAAGCAGATCGTATTTCCAAACAGGATCAATTTGTTTTCTACTCCAGAAAACCACAAAGCTAACCAAAAATGAACATAGAAGCCAAATTACTCCAGTTCCTCCAAGAATGGTGAATGCTCTGTGCTTCCTGCGATAGTTCCTCAAATTTTAAAGGCAGACACGTTCAGCACTATTGAGAAAACTCATCAGATGATCACATTTTCCAAGTTTTGGCTTTGCTCTTAAAAATTTTGATAGCAAATTTAGTTTGTATATTCACTGTGGCACTTGTTCGACACTTTACTATTTTTGTATGTGCCAGGCCTGGCACCTACCTCCACTGCTGTTCAAGTCGTCCTGTGACATAAGCATCTCTTTTTCTTTTGTAGTTCTTTCCAACCTATCCTCCAGCAATGCCTGGAATGCCACCCATGCTTCCACATTCAGGTCCCTTTGGGTCACTTCAGGGAGCATTTCAACCGAAGGTACAGACTTCTTCTTTGAAGGCTTTGTTCTTTTGCTGGGAGAGAAACTGTATTCAGAGTCGTGTCCCTGGTGATTTTGTAGCACATGACTGAAGTAGCAGGAGTGCAACACGGGGCTGGAAGCCCACAGGTCAATGAGCGTCCTCTACACAAAGCAGCCAGCGCTTGAGCAGAAGTTTTCTCTTGGCTCTGCAGATTGTTCCTTGGAAAAGGATGAGTGGTTCACTCGGGAGGTCAGCTCAACCTGGAGGAGAAGAATGCAGGCAGATGCATTATTTGATTGACGTATTTACAGCTAATACTTCACCGATGAATCTCAAATCATTTTATAAATTTAGCAGACTGAGGTTGCAAAAGATGGGCTGTGTTTATTCCCAGAAAGAAGGAAAAATTGACTGTACAAGTGTGAGAACAATAGGAAGAGACAGCTAGAAATGGGTAGAGCAGTGTGAAGGATCTGAATTTTTATTCCCAGCTCCTGTGCTGTTCTGACCTTGGGCAAGTTGCTTGAATCTTCTGTTCCTCAGCTTCCTCATCCATAATGTTATCTTTTAGTAGCTTTGTAAGGGTCGATTAATGCCTGCACCCTTCCTGCTGATAATGTTTGAAAGGTGCACTGCGCATGTAACATATCATTGCAGCTGGCACTGACTGGCATTTTGAGGTATTGCCATGATAACCACCATTTTCAGTGAATTCTGTGGTGTGCACTGTTTTTTTTTCTCCCATACTTGGTCTTTTTATTATCTGAAGTGTTAAATCCCTCCAGCCAAGAAATGTGAACACAGCATTGGCTTGAAAATAGAGCATCTACCATTTTTAAGGTGCCATGTGTTTATCTTCCTCGCATGCTGTGATTTTAGAGATTTCTTACCTTGAACTGCATCTCCATAGAGCTCTGCTGCTGTCTTAGAGGAGTTTAAGGACTAGCACTGTAACCAGTGCTGTTCTGATAGCATTTGGAAGGTCATTTCTGTAGCCAGGTAGGACTGTGCAGTGTGCTTTTCTCACTGATGTCAGTGGAGGTCAGTAACCAACCTCTGCAAGTAAGGTCTCTTGCAGCCTTCCCAATTAATTTCATTTTATTGTTAGAACCTCAGATATTTTCTCAGTGCCCACCTAATCTTTTAAATTATTTTTTTTTCCTGGATAAATTGCAAATAGCAGAGCCTCTAAAATGACTTTGTTCGACAGCAGTGCTGTACGTAATGACTGCAGAGCTGGGAGAGTAGCAGTTGCATCTAAGCAGAGGGAGCAAGAGGGAAAGGACGTAGGTATCCCTGGGCGAGATTGTTGTTGTTCTTGCATGGAAGCCAGTAGTTCCCTCTGGACCCCAAGTTGTCGAGATCTGAACTTTATTTCCCAAGCAAAGCTGCACAAATTATGTGGAAATGACAGTTTTTTTCTCGCATGAAAAGAGAGTTGAGTTTTGCCATAAGGCTGCTGTTAATGAGGAGCTTCTGCTGCACAGACAGCATGCTCTTCTGGCTTCCACCTTCACTGCAGTTTTATAGATACCATCTTACTGTAAAATGCCAGTAGATCGCAGAGAAGCAATTGCATGGCAAGAAGGAAAAAGCAGGCACATTGACATTTTTAATCAGAGCCATATTATATGCAGATTTAATTCATCTTAATGACAGATAAAAAGAATTTTGGTCGTCTGAGCGTAAACAGCTCAGGGTCACACTCTGGGGCGATGGTTACTCACTAACAGCACTTGATCTCTGGACAGTGCTGTATTTGCTTGCAATCTAACATCTCAAAAAAAAAAAGTTGAGAAATGGATCTGCCACTTTGGCATGTTGGTTTCCAGTTTTGTAGAGGAGACGGAGTTGAACTGCTCAGCAAAGCCACTCAAGTGTGTTGCATTGTTACTGCATCATTTTTCTGTGCTCTCCCTCCTAAGCTGTTTGACCAAAGCCTTCTTAACCACTACAGAGCTGATGGCTTGGTTTTGGCATGCTGAATCCTGCACTTCTTGGTTTCCAGAGCAGAGGTCTTGGTTTTGTTTTTCCCCTTCCCGTGTCAGTTGCCTACAGCTGTGTGTGTAAATCCACTGCACATAAATCCAGGCTGACGGTAAACTTCTCAGTGAGTTTCCCAAAGGCATTTCTCACAAGCTAAGAACTTGAAAAGGTCAGAAGTATTCAGTGTGCTTTGCTGGAGGAAGCTTTCACATCTTTCTCCAGGGGACAAAGGGACAGGATGACACCATGCTATTAACGTGTTGTGATCTGAAAGCTCTTGCCTGTATGATAGCTGTAACTTATTTGCCACCTTACATATACCTCAGCTGTCAGACTGGCCCCGGGAGCTCAGCTCTGCCTGGGGAGCTTGATGACTTACCTCCACACACACAAGAATTCTATTTTTAATGAATCTGGAAGTTACGTAGCCCTGGATAAATGAAAACCTTCCACACCCATAGTTTTAGTTGCTCCTTGCGCAGTTGAAATCTACCATAATTTGACCTATAATGTGAGTCAAATAATTGCTCAGGGAATGAGGTTTAACCCCTGTGCACTCAGCTGTGTGGAGGCACCAGGTGCAGCTGATCTGGGAGTGGGAGATGGATGAATTCCAGAGAAGGCAATGAGTTCTGGGGGACCGACCAGGACAGGGCAACAGGTGGGAGCCGGAGGAGGAGGAGGAACAGGGATTCATTCAATGAAGTGTTTAATTCTTGCTGGAAAATAATGGGATAAACAATGCAAAGCTATAAAAGACCCACAAGCACCTTCTAAGGTTTCTCGTTTTGCCTTGTCAAAGCAAATAGATGGGCTGTTGCCTTTGTAACCATTGTATCCTCTCGCCCTGGATGGAAAGAGGCCACGGCCCAATAGGTGGAATGCAGGACTAGAATGCTTGAATTGTTCTGTTCCTGACTGTGGTACTGGCTGCTGCCTGAAACACTGAGGGAATCAATCCACCTCTCTTGTTTCCTCTCCTGTTGGCTGCCTGTTTTGTCTAAAGAATAAGCTTCTGGGGGCAGGGACTGTCTCTTCCCATCCACTTGCATACTGCCTAGCACAGTAGGGTTGGTATTTCAACGGGGGCTTAGGGGTGCTGCCATAATTCTGCTGCTAAATAATTGATGACACAGTGATTAAATGCTGTTGGCTGTCAGTAAGAGATAACATTTAGCACTAATGTAGCGATATGCGTGTTGGAAGCACAGTACAAACGTGGAATAAAACATGCTGTTAACATCTAATAGAGATGTTAAATGAGCTGGTGATACGACACACTTTTATTCACTCTCTGTTCTTGTCTTTCAGACTTCAAACCCTATCGACGTGGCAGGTAGACCAGGCACAGTCCACCATACGCTGCTGCAGAAGACTCCAGGGGTAGGCAACGCTGTGTCACCTTCCTTTGGGCTTCTCTGGATTTACAGTAAACGGAGTGATTGCTCGTTAAAAGAAAGAGAGAGCAGCTGACAACTAAATTAGCCTTTCAAGAGTCTGAAAGTGCAGTCCGGACTGAATTTTCTTTTATTGATGAGACAACTGTAGCCTCCACCAGTCATGAATGCAAAGAGATGTATTGACTTTTTTAAACAAAGTCAGAGGGAAATGAGGCAGGAAACTTCTTCAAGGACTTTCCCCAAAGCATCACTTGGAGAGTAGTTTCATGCACTCCGTTTCAGAGCAATTACAAGGTTCAGAAAAGCATGAGTACTGTTCATTTACTGGTATGAAGCTGCACTGTTTATCATAAAATTCTGTTGAGTCTGCTGCAAGGAATGAAAGAGAAATTTTAAGCCTGCTTTAAGCCTTTTAGTTTTCCCTTGTCACAGGGGACTTCTCTGGAACATTGCTTTCTGAATGCTTCTACTTATTTGGAGGAAGGAAGTTTCCCACCTTTCTGTATACTTGCTAGTTTTAGAATGACTGATTGTTTTCTTTCTGCTTTCTCCATAGGTGTCAGACCCTTACAGGCCACCAGTAAGAGTAAGTAAGGTTTGTGGGGGATTTTATATATATTACGTGCATGTATTTTTGACATTTAACATGTCCAGTAGAAAAATTCAAGCTCATCTTTTCTTTAAAACAAAATGTCATTGATGGCTCTTAGCTACTTCTGATTAATAACTTACAGGTTGAATCCCATCCATGTTTTGCATCCATTTTTGTACATTAATAGTTCACAGTGTGAAATAAGGGTCACAGAAATAAAGGACTGCAAGCGTGGGCAGGCATTCGCAAATGATCACATTCATGGTGGCTTAGGACACCGTGTTTTGTCTGGGATTCTCATGTTTCACAAAAACACTCTGTAGTGGGTACTGCAGATCAGCTGACAAATGGTAACTCATTCAGCTGTGGCACTGGTCATCCCTGCTCAGTCTTTGTCCATACACTTTTCCTCTCCAAATGCAAGCAGTCCTAATGACCACACATGAGTTAGCTTGCAGACACGGTGCAGCATGGATGAATGGACAGGGCTCTTTCCAGAAACAGGATGGTTAAGCATCAGCTCCTTTCTCTTCAACATGTTGTAGTGTTCTTTGCAGCCATTTATTTTGAGTTTATGAAGGAGAGAGCACAGGTATGAGAATAAGGGCCAAGAGTGAGAGATCTCAGATCTCCATGAGATGAGGAAGACTTCCCACATCCCACATTCTTCCTGTTTCTTTCCTTCTTAATTTAAACATCATCAGCTGCAGTACAGAAAACGTCTATCATCTGTTGTGCCATTTTAGTCATCAGCCTTTCTCATTGCTTAGCTGCTAGACAGAAAGGGAAATGAAACCTTCTATCTGATGTAGATTGCTAACGTATAAATTAATCTAAATTCTCGCGTTTTCCATTGCAGAAACCCGGGAAGTGGTGTGCAGTTCATGTACAGATCGCCTGGCAGATCTACCATCACCAGCAGAAGATAAAGGTAATTCAGACAGTTTGTGGAACAAAGCCAAGTCTTACATGTTACGTTGTAGTGACAGATGAGGCAGAAGCAAGCCTGTATTGATTAACTAACACATTCAGACCTTCTAACATTTGTTGTAGCAACTGTATAGTTTACCTGAGGGCAAAGGAGTTCAGCTGAAGGGTACCAAATGAGCAGGAGAAATTTAAGTGTTTGGAGACAGAGAAGAGAGGTGGAGGGCTGCTTTGCCCAAAGTCCAGCTTTGTACGAAGCGTGGATGTTTAATGTCATTTCCCTTCTGTACAAGAACCTCCTGTGGAATATGGAGTATTATCCCAATAAGGATTAAGTGACTGATACTGTGGAGAATGTTTTTCCAAACATGGACCTGGAGGTTGGCAGTTCCCATGTTAGAGATTGTTGGGCTTTCTGCATTGCAGTGAAGACGGGGTGGCTGTGAACCTCGAGAGTCACCAAGATGCAGATACACCGAGGTGCTGCTGTGGGCTCAGAGCTCCCTGTGGCAGACAGAATAGAATTAATATGGCTTCTGTAGAGTGGCATTTTTTATAGGTCCTGCTGTAGGGTTTTCTCCCATTAATGAGGAATATTAAGTGCTTAAATAAGTACTTCTAAGAGTTATGTCTTTTTTTCTCAGTAAGTAAATATATCTTGGAGATGCATGCTTATCAAGAGGCATGCATGTTGTTGACTTGGGTGCAGTTCCTTGGGCTGGCCACGCTCACTTCTGTAGGGGAAGGGTAAAAGTAGCCCCTGGGTGAGACTCGTAGTCAGTTTTCTTCATCTCTCTCCCCATACCTTCATGCTGAGTGATGCTGGCTGGAGGAAAGACACAGTCTAAAAACATCTCTCTCTTTCCAAACTGGAAAAGCAAACCAGACGAGTCCGTCACCCAGCTCCCAGGGCTTCTGTCGGCAGCTTTCTGCCCTCAGAATATTTTTTTGTCAGGCTGAGACTGCTGACTGCTCCCGCGGTGCAGCGCGCTCGGTGTATCGTGTTGCATGCTCCAGAGTGTGCTGAGGGGCTGAGCTCACTTCAGACCTTATTCATGTGGATGAGGCAGGCAGCTGAGAGGCTGTGGAGTGAAATGGCCTTATAGATGCTGTCAGAGCGTGGCTGTGGTACGTGACCAGAGCTGCTGCTGTCACTCTTACTAACTCTCCCTGGCAGTGCTAAGCAGCTACAAGCCTCAGCTCCGTTTCTTCTTCTCCCATTAAAAAAAAAAGTAATGCATAATGAGACTGTTTTTGTATTGTTTGGCAGCAAATGCAGCTGGATCCCCACAAGCTCGAGATAGGCGGTAAACTTGACCTGTTCAGCAGACCTCCAGCCCCTGGAGTGTTTCCAGGCTTCCATTATCCACAGGACCTTGCCAGGCCTCTGTTTTCTACCACAGGTAAGGGCAGCTCATCATTTGTTGCTTCCTCCCCCCACCCCTCCAAAAGAAAAAACAAAACAACCCACTGCATTTAAAGTGTATCTCTGCAGCTGCGTGTGCCTTCAAAATTGCAGTGGGCAGGATTGCTTCAGGGGATGTGGAGGCACTGGGGATGGGGCTGGGAGCCCTGCTGTGGGAGCAGAGCTGGCAGCCTGCAGAGCGAGTTCTCTGCATCACTGAGCTGCAGCAGTTGGCTCTTGAAGTTGTGTCTGTGTGCTTATGTGCCTCCCTAATAGACTGTGGAGGGATATTAAAAAGCAATTTTGACAAAACACTTGAAAATGTTTCCATTGCATACGATTGGAAATGGTCCTAGGTTTCTTTCTTGCTCTTATATTTGCTGTGTTCTTCTTAGCTCATCCACTCATCTAGTTGTGTTTGTTTTCTGGAAACCTGGAGGATTTGTAAAGTGAAAGACTTTACTAACAGAATTGAAAAATAGCACAGAAGGTGTATTTTTTAAGCATTTGTTTTGTAAATGTAGAATTCCCTTACATATTTTTAAGTGCAGCCATCTCTAAGGCTTAAAATAGTGTTGAATGTTTTAGAAGAAACTACTGTTTATGTAGATAAATTGCTTTCCAATATGTTGTGGAAGTAATTACACTTAATTCGATTACAAAAGTCCAGTAAGCCTCAGTGTACTGTTCTTAATGTTTCTGACCACAGGAGACTGCAGCTCTGACATTTTCTCTTTGGAGGTCACTGGTGCTTTTCATGCCGGTGCCCATTTGCCAGGTGCTGATTTTCTTTGTTTGAGATGCTAAAGTCAGCCTTCTCAGTGGGCTGACAATTGATATGGTGCAGTTCAGCCCCTTATGTGTGTAATTCATTGACAGCAAGTGCAGTGCTTTTATGATGCAGTATTGAATCATTACTGTTGAGATGAATGAGGTTAGAAGTGTTCCGTGAGTTCGGTCCCAAGCAGGACCAAAACACAGCAGGATGGAGCTGAAGCCTCAGTGAGAGATGACTTCTGAGTGTGTGTCAGGTGGCCTTCAGGAGCTCCAGTAGTGGTTCAGTGTCCTTTAGACCTTACCTGTGGATGAAAAGTCTTAAACCTCGAATGCAGGCTTCCACTGCATACAGTTGTTGCTGATTCCAGCTGCATGCTGTTGAACGCTTCCCTGTATTTTGGTCTTTATAATGACACTTTGATAGTATGGAGCTGAGATACTTACTGCATCTGCTGGGATGCATGAGCACAGCTGATTTACAACCCTCCACCTGTTCTCCTGTGGCAGCTGTTTCCTTACCACTGGCTCAGTCTGTCCAGTGTTGTCATTACAAGAATCGTGCCTCCTGTATGGTTTTACTGCTGAATGCTGTCTTGGACAGAGTCTACCCCACCCTACCGGGCTGAAACAGTCTGTTGAATCAAAGCACCAATCTAATTGGTGTCTTGAGCTTTTTGTCTTACAAAGATGCAAGCGTGGCTCGCTTCTCCATTCATAAAAGCAAGAGTGGAAGAGTGTGAAATAGATATATTAAAGATAGCAAATTAATAAAAAACTTGTATTGGAGAAAAACAACCTTACAGCAGCTTGTCCACAAGTGTATTAATCACAACAGCCATCACATTAACTCCAGGCAGAGTGCTATCGAGGTGAGCAAACATTGCAGCAGTAATACAGAGATGAATAAATCTTCTGCTCCGCAATATCTGAGGCATTCTTTTCACCTTATCGAACAAGCGTGTCGCCGACGTGAGCCATGGCTTCTGCTGCATTGCCTCGTTACTGTGGGAGCCATAAGTTATCTTAGGGCCACCTGTCTTCAGGACGGATGTGCGGCTGCCTGGCAGACGCTATATTTAATAACTACCTGACAGCCTGCAATGCTGCTGCCGGCTTCCTCCAGAGGATTTTTTATTATCAGCCCGTGTAGTTGAGTTTGTAAGCCGTCTCCTTTGAAGAAATCTCCCATCCATTATACACCTTCTGAAATCTTAAAGGATTAGGAAGATGACAGTCTCCATCTGTCTTGAGGCATTGGAGCAGTCAGAATGTTTATAGATAACTTCAGGTCTCATACCCGTGGTCTCTCTTAAGTTTCCTCAACTAATTTTCTGGCTGCTTAGGTTTGTGGTGCCCAAGCTGGTGAGGGATGGGAAGCACTGTCTCCCTCTCAGGCTTTATAGACTGCTGATATCTGAACACAAGTGCGTTTTGCAGCACTTCGAGCTCTGGCACCAAGGAAAACCAGGTCCTGGATTGACCAGCACCTCCATAAAATCCTGTCCTCAGGAAAGTGCTGCTTCTGTCATTGTACGGAATGACGAGTTTCTAACAAGATGAGACAGTATGGCAACTTTTGCTTTCTGCAGGGGAGGCACAGGTTGTTACATCCAGGCAGCAACGGCAAGCTGTGGTAGTTGATAATCCTGCCTTATTTGCTGAGGCAGAAGTACAGGCAGAGGAGGCTCTGAATGGACATCATGGCCCAAATTTTTGCAGAGGGTTTTTGTGCATACGTTTGAAAGACAAATATTCAAATTTTAGATGTTAGGTGCATCCTGAAAATGTTCTGTGCTGATCTCAAGGGGCTCAAGTCAAGCCCAGGAGATTCCCAGACACACACTGATTTCCAGTATATATGGGAATCTGTCTTCCTCCAAAACCTGCGTATCCCTGTGCCAGGGGACAGTGCTTTCACGTGATACAGTTGCAAACCTGTTTGGCTCAGTGTGTGTCTGCTTGCACCAGTAGCAAATCTTTTATTTTCTGCTCTGGTTTTCCCTTTTGAACCCACCTGAGCATGAGCTTGGTCCACCTGGGAATGCGGGACAGACTAGCTCATTGCAGCCTATTCTTTCACCTTTCCTCAACCTAATGTAAAGTACTGTGCTGAGCTGTGCTGCTACTTCCCCAGAGGGCATTGTGGCACTATGTCTGTGGGCTAGGAGAGGAAGAAATACCATGGGAGAGGTTGTGGTTGCAGAGACAGATGTGAAAGCTTGAGTTTGATGGGCAGGGTCTGTGTCACCTGCCACTGAACTAAAAAGGGACCTTGTTCTCACAGGTGCAACGCATCCAGCCACCACCCCCTTTGGTCCTTCACCTCATCACAGCAGTTTCCTGCCTACTAACCACTTGGCAGGTAAGTGTAAGTAAACCCTGCCTTCACCTTTACACTTCTGACCCTGGCTCTCAGCACGGCTCTGCCTGAGGCACTGTAGCAGTAGCAGAGGGAGAGGGTAGAACTGTCTTAGGGATGAGGAGCTCACTCAGAAGTCCTCCTGCCCAGCCACCCTCTCTCATCTCCAGAGGAGAGGAGTGGGATTAGCAGACCCCCTCCTCTGAGAGGGGAGTGCGTAGCACTGCACCCAAGCTGAAACCTGACCTCTGTAGCCCTTCTGTGTTGTTGAAATGTGCCCAGGGAAACAGGAGGTTTTACTTCAGAGGTACCTCAAACAAGTTTGACATGGGCTCCTCCCATACCCTCTCTCACCTATGAAAGTTCTTGGCTATGTTCTTTATTAAGGTTCACTGAACAGTTCCTGGCAAATAGCTGTTCTGCACATTGTGCCAGTCTTTCAGTTTCCTAATTGGCAGTAAGTAGAGCTTGATTTTTTCAAATTTCCTCATTTTAAAAGCTCACAAGCAGCTCGTTGCCAATTAAAGATCAAGCTCTGTTGATTAATGTTGTAGTAACACTCACCCAATCAGTAAATGTAGCATGCCACATGACCCAGTACTCTTCTTTCTGTTGCAAATACCCACATTTACAATTCCTGAACATCCTGTCAAAACTAGCTGTATCCCTGCAGTCACCAACTACAAAAAATATAAGGGGGAGGGGCAAGAACAGCTATTTCAAAATAAGTAAATAAGTGAATAGCTGTTGGTGTAAAGCTCCAAGCTGTTTGGGCTGTTTGCCTGTGCATGGTAAATATAAGGATGTCCGTGAGGAATTGGGAAGCACTTCATCTCCCGTAACGTGGCAAGTTAGACACTGTAAAAAGACAGACATAGTCAGTGGGCAGGAGTTATTTCGAGATGAACAGGAGGAGAGCAGTGAGATCTTAGCCTGCAGCTGTCCTTGGAGGGTATAAACCTGAGTTGGGCACTTGGAGAGGAACCCCTTGGTGATGGGTGCCTCAAGTGAAGTAAAAGGCAGGACTTTTGAAAGGACAAGTGTTAGTAAGGCTAAGGCCATGCTGTCATTTCCACCACTATGATCAAGAAAGCAGTTATGGGAGAGGATTTGGGCACGAACAGACCCACATGTTTAGTTGGTGTATGGATGGATGTCCATAGCAGTTAGGACTGTTTCTGTGCACCAATACAGAGGGCAAAAGGTTGTACAGAGAAATAACAGTGAGACACTGCATCCCCCTCATTTTGCTGACCTAGGAGTCTGCTTACGTTCTTTCAAAGCAATTGCAGTGCTTCTGGTATTACTGCTGACAGGGAAGGGGAGTTAACAATTTAGCAACAGCCACCTTAATTGCAGCTATAGAACTTAATTTCTCGCTCCCCTCTGACTGGCATACAAAAGTTTATTGCAGCACCTGTTTGCAGGGTGAGCACTGAATCCCTTCTCCATTTTAACATGCTGGGAATTTTCTGTGCAAAGAACCTTGCGATGAGAAGGATCAGCTTAAAGTCTGGCCTAATCCTTCTTGGATTCAGATCGTTAAGAAGGGGAGGGGTGCATTTCATTCTCCAACATTCTTGGCTAAATGCCTGCTAAATCCCTGTTTGCCTTTCCAGATCCATTTAGCAGGTCAAGCACCTTCAGCGGCCTTGGGAACTTAGGCAGCAATGCCTTTGGAGGATTAGGCAGTCATGCTCTGAGTAAGTACTGGCTGGGTTACTGCAGACAAACATCCCTTCCAGAAAAGCCACATGCTAATATTTACAGCAGCTGGTGGTAGTTTTTAAAGAAGTTTATTTCCTAACCTCCATTCTGCTATCTGAAAACACTGCACCTAAGATTTCCAGGTCTCTGCGGTGGGAGCTTTTCTGCGTGTCACAGACATCAGTAGCTGTGCCCTGTGTCTCCTCACTGCTGAAGGCTGTTGCCTTGTGTGTTCCTAGGGGTGCTGGAGCTGCTTGACCCGCTGAGCTCTGGCACACCGTGTGCATCTAAGATAACACCCTTCAAACAGTGGAGATGGACGGGGGGCGGCTACTGATGCTTCCCCTAATTCAGAGTGTAGATTTCCTCTGTAACCAATATCTGGAGTTTGAATTACCTGTATAAAATGATTGCACATCAAAAGCATGTTACCTGTAGGCAAGACATGCTTGGGAGCCACACATGAGAGAGCATGCTTATGCATCTCATGGTGCGACAGGAATCAGTTCAAGACTGGTGGAGGAAAATCGTGTGACTGTTCTAAAAAACCCTACAGCCAAGCTCTGTTTCTGTGCACATACATACGTACCACCAAATAGTCTGGTTTCTTTAATATAAACTCCTTGACTACCCAGCTGCAGGCGGCTGATTGCTTGTAACTACCCAGAAATTAACGGTTTTGCCAGTGAGGGAAGCTGAGGAAGTTTTGCTTTTGTGCTGGAACCTTTGCAGGGGTGGGGGGCAGAAAAGGAGCTGTGCACTTTCGTAAGCCATCTCTGAGTTATTTGGATGTATACAGCTAAAGCTTCCTCCACCGGTGTCCTTAAAAGAGCTGGTGGGTCTTTGGCCAGCGCCAGAGGAATCTCTGACGCCCTGTTAGCAGCTCTTCCTCGCCATGAGCTCCATGTTAAGAAGTCTTGAAAGGACAGCTCTGGTTTTACTTTGTCTCGTGCAAAATGCATCTGTAATGACTCGGTTTGAATTATCTTTAACCCTTCCTCCTCCCCCGCCGTTATTCTAGCTCACAACAACATTTTTACTCACAAAGACGGCCCAAACCTGCAGAATTTCAGTAATCCCCATGAGCCGTGGAACAGACTCCATCGCACCCCGCCATCCTTCCCAACGCCTCCGCAGTGGCCCAAGCCGAGCGACTCCGAGCGAAGCTCCTCGGTGACAAACCATGACAGAGACAGGGAGCGGGAGCCCGAGAAGAGGGATCTTTCTCTGAGTAAAGACGACAGAGACAAAGAGAGGTGAGCAGCCTGTGCTTTTGAGCTGTTTATTCTTCCGGTTCTCTTTTTCCTCTGGATTTCTTCTCATTTTTCCTTCACTGCCAGTTCCCATTGTAAAATCACCTTCAAAGCAAAACACTGATTGTCTCTGAAGCAGCTGATAGCCGTGTCCTCCAGATAAGTGTAAGTACCAGTGGCACAAAAGAAACCCCTGCCTTTTAGGTTCTGTCCTCTGTGGAAATACAGCAGGCTTCTCTTTCCTTCCCTGCTAGCGGGTTACTAAAAAGCACCAGGTTGGGAAAGTGAGCATGTCAGTGCAGCTTTCGGGGGTGCTTGACCATTTTTAGCAGCCTCCTTTAGCAGTGCCACAGATTCTGAAAGGGTGGAAGTGGTATTGTGATGGGTCCTTTGTAGACAGTCATAGCTCTCGATGCAGGTAAACTGATAAACTCAAGTGTTAGCTGGACGTTAATGAGATAAAAATGCAAATGTCTGTATCTGGAGCAGCATGCATGAATTCATTAGTAAAAGTGATTTTAAAAAATTACAGGCAAACCCTTAGTAACGATGACAGAAGTGTATCACCTGAGCTATAGGTACGTTATTAGCTTCCAGCTTTATGATTCTGAAGCTTTACATTTTGATTTTGAAGTTCTTTGTATTCCAGACCCTGGCTGTCTCCAACAGCCTATTTCTTTTGGGCAGTAGAAGCCTGCAAGCCTTAGATGCATTTGACTGCTGATCAGGGTTTTGCAGTTTGCCTGGAGTGCTTTTAATGAGCTCTTCAGGCAGTGCCTGTGAACAAGATTATATAGAAGCAATAGGCTGAGAATCATCTTGCTTTCAGTGTTAAACTGTCTGACACCCTTGTATGAATAGTCATTCAGATAGGAAGCTCCCTTGTTGGCTTTAGCATAAATCATTTCTAAACCAAGGTTACTTCACTCTCAAGAGTGTTCACACAGAGGTTAACATCTCTATTACGTTTCTATTAATTCAGCCTAAGCTGTCCCCAGCATCGATGTTTGGACATGATTTTAATAACCTATATCCCTGGCCAGCAATCAGGACTACCACAGAGAGAGAAATCCGGGTTAGCAACTGTAATCATAAAGAATAAATACTGAACTCCCCCAAACACCTCCAGTTCTCAGCACTCTGGCCTTATGGCTCTCAAACACAAACTCAAGGCACAAAAGGAAGGCATCACTGAGCCCTTCCAGCATAACACTCTTCTCTCAATCCCACCACGATACTCTGCATTTAAAGTATCTGTCATTCAGAGCAAAGTGCTTCTAAAAGGTGGCCTTATTTATTCACTTAAAGACATGGGAATAAGTGCAACTGTTTGGCTTGCTCAGAGGCAGAAATATAAATCCCGTTCTCACTGCTTCTTCTACACAGTGGAGGTTATCCTTGAACCCCTTGCTCCTCATTGCAGGCCGTCATTCCTTTTCTTGGCCTGTGCAAGGACGTTTTCCTTAAGCACTTGGCTCAATTGACAGAATGCCAACAACACACAGTTCACTGCAGCTCCACAGAAAAATAATCATCATCTCGTAGCTGCTTCTAGTTGTTGAGGCTGTCTCATGAAGCACCCACATATTTTCCATAGGTTTCCAAAACAGTTCTGTTTTGTGTGCCTACATCCATGCTCTAGGAAAGGATCCACGCAGTAAAGAGAGTTGTAGCCAAGGAAATCTTCGTCTGGCAGCAGGAGATGTGCACACACAATAACCACCTTCTTTAAAAAGCAATAAACCATCCGCACTTTTTCATTTCTTAGTGGACAGTGAAGTAGCCTGGTGAGCTGCGTTAAGGCAGGTGGTTCGTCCCCCGCAGGGGATACCGCAGCTGTAGCTGATGCTAGCAGAGCTTTTCAGATCATTTTCTGAGCAATCTAAAACAATGCAGCTAGGCGCAGCACTGTGCGTGTCCAGCATCACGTGTATCTTTGTTTGCACAAACCCAAGGATGTATCTGCACTTCTTTTACAGAGACCTCATGGATAAAAACAGACATTCAAACAGATCCTCACCGGCATCAGCTCCAGTGACGCATCAGATCAGCAATCTCATCCGCAGCAACAGCCAAACCTCCAGCGATCCCATCAGGCAGGTGAGCCTTGCAGAAAGGGAAAGGTCCAAAGAGCCAGAGCGAGAGCACCCTGACCGGCTGAGAGAGCCGCCCATAGCAGAACACAAGATTAAAGAGAGCCGTTCCCCAGTGAAGGAAACTCCAAGCCATGATAAGAGACCCTCTGAGGACAACACAAAGCCAGTAATCCAGTCTGTATCCCCATACAGCAAACCTGCACTAAGTGAGAGCTTGAAGCTTACCAATCTAATGAGCAAGGACATGGAGAGAAAGACGGAGCTTCCCAGTGACCTGCAGAAGATTAAGAATGACATCAAGGTCAAAGAGGAGAGGAAGGAAGACAGCGACGTGCTGGTGGTGGGCTCTGAGCCTTCACAGCACTCCCGATCGGTGGAGCATCCCCCGCCCCCTACTTTGCACGGGTTATCATTGCCTCCCTCCATGGCCGCCTCCATGCCCATCTCCATGGGCAGCGTGCACCAGATGAACAACATGAACGTGCTGGACCGCAGCAGGATGATGACCCCGCTCATCGGCATGAATCCTCTGTCAGGAAGAGAGAGGCTGCCGCACCCCGGGTTTTCCTGGGACCCCATGAGGGACCCGTTGCGAGATGCCTACCACCGGAGCTTGGACCTGCACCGTCGGATGGACTTCCAGCTCCGGACGGATCCCATCCACAGGTTCCCCACCACCTCCGGGTTTTATGACCACGAGCGTTCTTACAGAGACAGGGAGCCGCACGACTACAACCACGAGAACCTTCTGGAAGCGCGCCGAGAGCAGGAGCGGTTGCGGCAAGTGGAGGAAAGGGAGCGCTTGCACTTACGGGAGGAACTTGAGCGTGCCAGAATGCACCACTTGCACTCGTCCCCTATCGAAAGCCACCTGGCACACGTGCCATCCTTCATGCCTCATTTGAGCGGGATGCATTACCCCAGACTGAGTCCATCCACCGCCATGCACAACGGCATTCTCAACAGGAACCCTCCGACCGCGGCGCTGAGCGCCCCGCCGCCCCTCGTGCCAGCGAGCAGCACCCGGCCTGCCTCCCCCCGCAGGACTACCCCGCTCACTAACTCAGAGTCCAGGGACTACTCCCCCTCTAGGAACCCCAAAGAAGTAGAGGCCCGATAGTCCCCCGCACGGAACCTTGAACTCTCCTGTACATAAAGCAGACGGGGAAAGGAAAAAAAAAAAACACAAAGAAAAAGGAAGGAGGAGAAGAAGAAGAAAAAAAAAAAAAAAAAAAAAAAAACAAAGGAAAAAAACAACAAACAGAAAAAAAAACCGACAACAAAGAAAAAAAACACAGAAAACCTTTTACAAAATGCACTGCTGTAAACTTTTTGTTTTGTTTTTTTTTTTAATGTAAAATTTGTAGAAGTTAAGCACATTTCCATGAATAATGGGGTCGGGGCGCAGACTTTCCAACAAGAAGGTTGCTGAGAACGGGAATTTAATATATAGGTATTGATTTTTGGTTTCGTTTTTTGTTTCTGTGCTAAAAAAAAAAAAAAAAAAAAAAAAAAAAAAAAAAAATACGAGTTAAAAAGAAGAAGTTTGTACATTTTTTCCCAAATGTGAGAAACATTTTTAATGGATTTGTATTTTTTTTAATTTTGTGCTCTTTATTCACTTAGGGGAAAAAAAAAAAAAAGAGAAATTTGCTTTTGTTTTTAGTTAAATTTGCATTTTAAAGGCCTCAGATCCTTAAGAAAAAATACCCAGGGTTTCTTAAAAGTATTATTTATGGAAATACTGTAGTTTTACAGTCCACTGTGAGGTTCCCTTCTGAGGCCCGTCGATCACTTACCTTGGTACTTTGGAACCGAAGTTACAGATATATATTAAAATATTAATAATAATAATAATGTACAAAACTGTTTGTTTTTTGCCTTATTATATTATGCAGAAATTTAAGAGGAATTTTTTTTGACTTCTTGTTTTAAACAAAAGAAAAACAACAAAAAACAGAAAGCAAACTGTAAATATTCTGTTAATATAAATGTACACCAATATTAAATTCTTAACATAGGTAGACTTTATAAAAATGGTTTCTAGAACCACTCTGGTTATTTGTTAACATGGTTACAACTCATACTCTTGTCACAGTCAGAAATTCACACTCAGAGCGCTACGTACGGCATATATACTTCAACTATGCAAGAACCTGGAGGCAGGTCGTAGTGGATGCTGGGGGGAGGAAGGTTCAAAAACAAACAACCCAAAACCAACCAACTCGCAACGACGGAGACCGGTGGAAGCGGCACGTGAGCAGGAAGCGGCGGCTTGTGTTTCACAAAGGAAGAGACTGGATTTTTGTACAAACACAAGGGACGGCTCGGCGAGGGGAGAGAGGCGCGCTCCTGGAAGGGCATTCTGGTTTCCTACTCTTCAAGCTGGCACAAGCAGATGGAACTGGCACAGTACCATGCGGCAGACCCTTTCCTGATTTTGTTTTTGTTTTTGTTCTTTCCTTTTTTGTTTTCTCTTTTTTTGTGTTGTGGGCAGGATCGCTGGCAAGCAAGGACAATTTTCCGTGGACCCCTTGTGCTAATTGTGCAGTGTTCTTATTGGAATCTGTATACAAGACAAAGTAGAATTTTAGGAGTGCAAAAAAAAAAAAAAAAAAAAAAAGTCTAATGGTTGATTAAAAAAAAAAAGAAATTCTGATATATTATCTATAGTACATGAAGACCATAAGCAAATGTTTGTTTCAGTGTGGTTCTGCCTTGAACTGCTTTTTGGCATGATTTATTTTTTATTTCCAATTTTACTTTTCATCCATATGTAAATTTTGCCATGTTTTACTTGCTGTACCATCCCCCCCTCCCTTATTTTATTTTTCAGTGTCCATGTTTTATATATCCTGGGCTTTTTCTCTCTAGTTAATTCAGCCATCCGCTACTATTTTCTTGGCTCTGTAACTCTTGTTTCCCCCCCCTTCCCCATCCTCCCCCCTGCACCCCCTGTAATTTTAAACATTCAGTTTCCTTGTAGATCAATGAAGATAAATACAACATTGATTTTGGATGAAAAAGGCAGTGGTGTGTTTGTGTGAGTGGCCGGCGCTGCCCAGCGGAGGCCGATGGTCGGCGATGGCGGCTCGGCGCCGGGGTTGGTGCTGGAATTGGGGCTGAGTTCGGCCTGTGGGTCTCTGCTCCCGGTGCAAATGGTGGGAAGGATGGAGAAGAAGGGCCAGGCTCTGTGCAGCCGCTCACCAACAGAGCTGTGGCTGTGGGAGGGCCGCAGCCGCGAGCTGCTCTCATGTGTGTCTCTGTTTGCTCCCCCCAGCTCCTCCTGTGGGCTGAAAGCAGACATCTATGGGGTGTGGAGAGGTGCTCCGAGCCCCCCAGCCCTCAGCGGGCGACTGCGCTTTAACAGCATGTTACGGCTTCTGTTCTTAAGTCTGTGTGTGACTAAGTTACAGAGCGTAAAAAATAAAGTGAAATAAAATGGCAGGGTCCTGAATGTGATGAAAGGAGGCTTAAGACAAAACAGGCACTAAAAATCAGCACCTGCTCTCCCAGCTGAAATCGGAGGAACGTGCAACACATGGTGGAAGCGCAAAGTGTGCTGCAGTCAGCATAAAGACGTTGGTCATGCTGGCTGAGGGGCTGCAACTGTCCCCCTCTGCCATTGTCTGATGCACCGTCATGCTTGACATCACCTCTAAGGCAGACCTGACCAAATCAGCCTCCCTAACCTCTATGACAAAAGAGTCCAAAGCGCAGGCTGTCAGTGCACACTGCAGCAAATCTGAGCTTGGGCCATGCCCCGTGGAAGCGTTGGGCCCATGCAAAGTTTGGAAAGCAAGCGTTAAATCAGTGCCGTGCCACCGTGGCATTCCTGAAGGATTGCTTGTTGCAGCCGCAGCGATGCTGGAGGAATTCATCATGATGTGGCAGTCTGAATATTAAAAGCACGTCGGTGTTTTGCCATTTGCTGTAGTTGGAGGCATTGCTCTTACGCTTTCGGAGGATGACCGGTCAATAACGCTGCACTGCAGTGGGATTCCTGCGGAATTACGCTGGGCTGGATATCAGCCTTCTCACAAAACGGTTCATCGTGATTAATGGTATTATTACCTAAACAGAGAAACTAATTAATTCAGCCCTATTCCTTTAAGCTACCCCAGCTGAGCCGCCTTCTGTTTGAAAGGCCTGTAACAGAACTTCCTGGGGTTTATGCGTTTCTACCGCCGTTGAGCTTTCATTCTGTGCTCTTCTTACCATTTTTATTATACTTTCAGACCTCTCCTGAGGGACTTCCCTCGACCATTGACAACTTGGGAAGGAAGGGGTCATAGCAAGCAAATGATGGTGGGACAAAGGATGGGATCTGTGAGGTGCCTCAGGCAGCCTCTGCTTACGAGCAAGCTCGGGAGAGAACTGAGGGACGGCAGCTCTTGCAGTTGTCTGAGCAGTGTGCTGCTGTGATGTGTGATCTCCATCAGCCAGGTATGGACCAGCCATTGGAACAGGAGTACCCGGGAGATGGTGGGGTGCAGGAAACAGCCTAATGAATCCTCAGATGATTTGTTGTAAGGTACTGTTTTGGTTTGTTCCTTCGTTTTTAACAAAAGATCTTGTGGTTCCCTAAATAGCAAGTTTAATGCCTAAATTAAGCACCTGGGAATTCTCATTCCTGTTATTTACGGATGGAAAAGATAGAAGAAAACTGGCCAAAAGCATGCTAGGTTCCTTTCTGGGATCTGTGTTCTTAGCATCTCACTAGAGTGAGCCACAAGCTGCCAACATCCCATCTGCACTTAGGGATGCTCTTCGCCACTGATGGGCAGCTTCCCACCAAACCCATCAGGGTGCAGGAAGCCATGAGCTGTCTGTCAGGCCCCTGAGGGCTCTTGGAAGGAGAGAAGCACACAAGCCAATCTCCTGCCCTATGGCAATGCACAAGTAGCAGCACACACCACTGACAACCACCTGCCTCCCTGCCTGATGGTGTTGATGCTTCCTCAGCTGTAGGAGCTGAGGTCTGCTATAACCACTGCAGAGAGAACAAAGGAGACAGGAGGAAATCTATGCTGTTTGTTTTTGTTGTTGTTCTTCTCTTTTTTTTTCAAAACTAAGATGGCTCTGAATTTCTGGTTTGTTTAATGGATGTCAGATACTACAGTGTGTGAGAAACTTCTGTCAAAGAATCCAACCTGCTGCTGCTTTGCACTAAGCCCCTCTGGACAGAAGAGGTGGTACAGTATCATAAAGTCGATGGTTACAGCTTCTATTTTAAATTAAGAAAGGCATAGCTGAATTCTCAGCTGGTATCCCTGAGGAGGCCAAAGCCTGTGCTGCTCTCCTGGGCTGTGCAGGCCATGCGTCAGAAAGCAGTGACACCACTCAGCTGGCTGGGGAGGCAGTTTGTGTGTGAGGACGGCTCTGGGGTTGCGCCTCGCCACATCTGTCTGCTCAAGAGCTCAGTTTTTCCTACCGTGTCCTGAGGAGTTTCAGCAGTCGAACTCTTCCAAGCTCTCTAGAATGGTTTCTGTGCACCCTGCAGCCAGTGTGCTCACTGCATGACTTCACGCAGCCAGACGTGGCCAAAAAAGTGCCTCTGTGAACTAATGAATTGGTTTAATTGTCTGCCAAACCTGCGAGCAGCCAAAAGCAACAAAGTTTACAATCCTGTGGTCTCATTTACAAGGGGATAATACAACAACTGTTTATTTTGTGAGATGTCAGAGCGAGGCAGGAGAAAATCGCAGCCCCCGTACAACATTCATCATCATCATCAAAATACTTTCAATAGGAAGCACCGATGCTGTTCTGCTCCATTAACATGCGCTGTGCTTCCAGCCCGCCTGGCTGGCATCGGTGCAGTGCTGAGCTGCTGCACGGCCCCATCCAGCACACTGAACCCCATGGAGGCACGAGCTGCCGCTGCTCAGTGGGGTCAGCCTGGGGCTCCCAGGGGCGCTGCCTGGAGCCCACGGCTCCCGCTGCGGGGCCAGAGGCTCTGGGTGTGGGGAGCTGGGCTGTGGGAACGCTGCAGCGGTCGGCTGGTTTCTCTTCAGAATGGGTGGTGGCCGTGCAAATAAGCTGGGCGGCCGGGTGAATGGCTGCGTCATCAAAGGCAGCTGAATGGGGACGGAGAGGGGAAAAATAAATAAATACGTGCATACATCCCTGTGCAATGAATCCCTCCCCATTCAGACCTTTCCTTTTATTTCTTCCTTTGAGAAGCGAGGTTATCGGGTCTAACATCACATCCAAACATTTCAGCGCTCGCATTATCCGGGATGCTCCAAGGTCAGCGCCTGCAGCTGTAAACTCATTAGTCTTGTCTTTTGTGAGAGAAGAAAGCCTCTTCATTCCTCCCTCGCCCCCTTCCCCCCTAATTAAAATTAAAGTATTTCCTGGCCAAAAGTCATTTCTGCATTCATTCATCTCAATTCTTTTCTGTTTGGATAAACCACCCTCTGGTACTCCGAGGGTGTTATGTATACAAACTATAAACCCTTAATGGTCCTGCCGTGTGTTATGACTGGCCTAAGGAGCGAGCGCAGGCTCTGAAAAAGCGGCTCTTGGCAACGCTGTGTGCGGAGCTCAGGCTCATCCGTCATATGCAATTAGAGATTAAAAGTGCTTGATGGACTATGGGGGAGCCCAGCACGGAGGGAGATTAGGAATGTAGGAAAGAAAAGGCAAACAAAAGCTTTTATCTCTGCACAGCAGTGGCTGCTACAAAGCAGGATGGGAGGACGGGCCTCATTCTCCTGAGGCACCCACAGCCCTCCTGGCCCCACAGCCGCTGTGCGGGGCCCCACGGCTGCACGGCCACCCACGGCTGTGCCACTGCCCACAGCCGGAGCACGCTCTGGACCAAGGGTGCTGTGGGGGCTGCAAAGCCCTCAGAGTAAGGGGCGATGTCCTGGTTGGAGTCCTGCTCCTCCAAAAGGGTTTTCTTTCCCGCAGGCTGCAAGAGAGCGGGGCTAGAGGTGCCCAGCCTGAAAGAAAGATCTCCTTTCCGAGTTCCGCTATAGAAGTCCCAATCAGCCACTAGAGGTGCATTTAAATGGGTTTTGTCAAGCATTAAAAGGCTGCTGCCCTGCATTCAAAGCGACTTTCTGCGGTTTGGGCAGAAAGTGGTGTAAGTAGGTTTCTTCAAGTGTGTGTGATTGCTCGTGGCTGCTGAAGTTGATTTGAATCGCTTGCTGCTGCGCTCACCAATTTAGCCTGATAAATTGTGCATTATTAAATGGGGGAAGGGAAAGGGGCTGCGTTCTCCCTGACAAGAAAGTGCAGCGTTTCTCATTGGTGAGGAGCGATTCCTCTCATCAGCACAGCCTGAGAAACAGCATAATGAATCATTTGCACCTGAGAGCTCAAGTCCTCTGCATTTCCCATCGCTCCTCATGCTCTGAGATTTGGATCCCATGGGTTCTGCCCAGAGCCAGCCACAGGCATCACATCAGCCTTGCCCAGCGCTGGAGCTGGGAGAGGTCTGCATTGCCACGGTACTGTTCCTCATGCCCTGTGTAAGTGCAGGGCCTGCAGGCTGTCAGGCAGGCATCTCGCCGTGCTCCCCACCAGCACTGGGGTTGTCAGTGCATTGCCACACAACAGCCTGGTCCGTGGTGCCCTGTGATGGAGCCGTGCTAATGAGCTCCAGAGGGAACCCATTGAGCCCTCCTCGCTGCAGGCACCGACCTCTGGGGAGAGGAGTTAAAAG